ACTAGGAAATCATGGGGCTGGTGGTATTCCATAGCAAGTTAAGCTGCCACTGGCAATGCTGGCCTCCCAGTTTGAGTCCTGGCTGCTCCACTTCTGATCCAGCTCTCTGCCAACGCACCTGGGAAAGCAGCCAAAGATAGCCGGAGTACATGGGCTCCTGCCACCCAAGCAGCAGGTTCACTTCTTGGCTCTTGGCTTTGGCCTGGCCCAGCTCTGGTTGTTGTGGGCGTTTGAGGAGTGAAGTGGTGGATGGAAGATCTCTCTGTGTCTCCCTCTCTCTGTTGTGTTCTACCTTTCAAATAAATAAAGAGATCGCTTTTTTAAAAAAAGATTTATTTATTTGAAAGTCAGAGTTACACAGAGAGAAAAGGAGAGGCAGAGAGAGAGAGAGAGAGAGAGAGGTCTTCCATCCACTGGTTCACTCCCCAATTGACCACAATGGCTGGAGCTGGGCTGATCCGAAGCCAGGAGCCAGGAGCTTCTTCCAGGTCTCCCAGGTGGGTGCAGGGACCCAAGGACTTGGGCCATCTTCTACTGCTTTCCCAGGCCATAGAAGAGAGCTGGATCAGAAGTAGGACAGCCAGGTCTCTCACCGGCACCCATATGGGATGCCGGCACTGTAGGCGGTGGCTTAACTCACTATGCCACAGCGCCAGCCCCGGGTAAATCACTTTAAAAATGGGAAACTCAGAATCTCTCTAAAGATAAACTTTAAAATCAGCACACCCTGGATCAGAGCAGAAATAGCATCTGCTTGAGAGGAAATGCCAGCTCCCAGACCTCAGAGTTCATTGGAACAGGAGGAAAGTTGTGGGAAATCTAGAGAGACTTTCGAGTGGCAGACAAGGAGGGAGTACGCTTGGCTGGCCAAGTGCAGACCAGGCCATCACAGGCAGAAGCCAGGGCAGGGCCTGTCTGGAAATGGACCTGGAGAGAGACAGTCTCAGGGAGCAAACCCAACAGCGAGCATTCCCAGAGGGGCCGGAGCCCAGAGCTGCCCTCCCCAGTAGTCAGTTCTGCAGGTGTCCGGGCCCGACCCAGAATGCCCAGAGCCAGTGCCTTCCAGCTTCTCCATGGCGGCTGGTCTCCTGCCCGCACACACTGCACAGCAGATGGGAGTTCCCTAAAGGTCGCCTGCTTCTCCATTCCCATTTCACGCCAGGTCAGCCACTGAGGGCAGGGAGCCGCGGGGTGGGCTGTCCTGGGGCAGGTGGACAGAAAGGCGGGTGTACTCAACAGCTGTAAGTTGTAAACTGACATTCTGTGGGTTTTTCAAATCGCTTCAACTCTCTATGCCTCAGCTTCCTCTTCGCTACAATGGGAATCATAACAGTGCTTATCTCGTAGAGTTGGTGTGAAGATGATGAGGTGTTATATAGAAAGTGCTTAGGGCCAGCGCCGCGGCTCAATCGGCTAATCCTCCACCTAGCGGCGCCGGCACACCGGGTTCTAGTCCCGGTCGGGGCGCCAGATTCTGTCCCGGTTGCCCCTCTTCCGGGCCAGCTCTCTGCTGTGGCCCGGGAGTGCAGTGGAGGATGGCCCAAGTACTTGGGCCCTGCATCCCATGGGAGACCAGGAGAAGCACCTGGCTCCTGCCATTGGATCAGTGTGGTGCACTGGCCGCAGCGTGCCAGCCGTGGCGGCCATTGGAGGGTGAACCAACGCAAAAGGAAGACCTTTCTGTCCACTCTGCCTGTCAAAAAAAAAAAAAAAAAGTGCTTAGAACAGTAGCTGGCCCAGAATGCATGTTTGTACATCAGGCTCTGGGAGCTTGGTTAATGTGTGTCTAGCTTTGAGAGCAGATGCCCAGTTTTCTGTCCCACAAAAGAAGCAACTTAACAAGACCGTGAAGAGTGGCTAATTCAGCAAGCTGTAGATTGTCTCTCTGAAGTAGTCAAGGTCCTTCCTTAGCTGACAGAATAAATACTCAACAATGCCAAACACCTCACGTTCACGGATGTCAGTAAGGACTGTATGAAAACCGTGTCGAGTCCTTAATAAGCGTGCAGTCGACACTTTTCCGTCAGTCGGTGGCAGCCTTTGTCTCTCTTCTCAAACACCATAACTCTTTGAACAGTCAGCTGGCAACTACAGATTGGGCAGGGATCCCTGGCAGCCTAAGGAGGCTCAGTTGCTGGGCTGACCATCTGAGAACCTCCAACAATAATCCCCACTGAGTCTCTGGACTGAAATAACTTCAGCCGGCAACTGCCGCCTCACCACCTGACGGTGAGCTCTGACACCCAAGTGAGAGAGACGCGCTGGAGGAGGAAGGCGTGTCAGCGCCAGCCCCGCTTACACTTCCAACACGCCTCGCCTTTCTGCAGGGCGCAGCCGCTGTGGCACCACCTCTGACACTTGCCTGAGCTCCCTCCGGCGAGCTCCCTCGGCCCCTCCCCGCCCTGTGTCCCCGCGGCACCCGCTCCGTCCCAGGCAATCGTGTTCCTGCTCTCAGCTGCGTTAGGAGTCGTCAGATACCCTGCAAGCAGCTCTGTGCTTGGCACATCGTAGATGCTCACAAAATGTTTGTTTTTGGATTCATGCCGCTTCCCCCATTTTCTCCTGCAGGCCTGGAGCTCAGGGGAGGGAGCCTTCCCAGCCCTGGCGGGGCGGTGGGGTGGGGGTGGGGGCTATTTCAGTGGCATCTCTGGCTGGGAGAAGCTACTTAGGAAGGGAGGTTTGCTCTGACTCGCAGGGTTGGAGGTTCCCAGTTCAAGATCAGGCACTCCCATTGGTTTGGACATCTGGTGAGGATGGACAATGGTGGGGGGACACTCACACCGAGAAACGGGAAGCCGAGAGAGAGGACAGCCAGGCCGAAGTCAGCTCACATAACCACCTCTTGTGAGAACTGGCCCCGGTGGCACAAGGACCTCCCACCCGGCCCGCTTCCCAGACACCATAATCGGATCAATCCTCCATCCTTAATCCGTTATCCGTTAATGTTAACCCATTAACCACTAATTCAAGACTCTGGGGACCAAGTTGCTAAGATGTGGGCTTCTGGGAGCCACCTGAACAGTTATCTTAACAACAGCAGGGAGAGAAGTCAGGTCAGATCAGGGGAGGTGGGGGGAAGGGGTGCTTCCCCTTCCACAGCTGCCCCAAGCACGTGACTGCGGAACCTTGCACCGTGAGAGCTGCAAGGCACAGGAACGTATCTAGAGGGCCAGAGACACCCTCAGCAAGACACCGTGACAGCAAACATTCACTCAACAAACCCTGTGACACCAAGCATCGTTCACTCAACAAAGCTTTATCCAGCACATAGTCTGTGACTCTCCCAGGCTAGACACAGGCAGACCTGTACACAGGTTATGACAGTACCTGTGTCGGGTGGTGGGACGGGAGGCAACGCAGCACCACAAGGAGGGACCAGAGAGTGACTGCGGAGCCAGGCTGCTTTGGGGGAGGGAGAAGAACAAGAGAGCTGCTGCTCCCCCTCCCAGGAGCCGCACCTTTGGGTGCGTAACTGGAAGAGCATCCCCTCATCTTCCCCGGCGTGTGCAGGCTTCCTGGCCCTGCAGGCTCCTGGAATATGCCTCCGCCTCCAGGCAGGGCTCCCCGCTGCTCCCTGTGACCACCGCGGCCAGCAGCAGTGGGACTCCAGCACTCTTGACTCCCACTGTACCTCCTGGGATGCAGAAGAGGCCTATGGTAGGGAGGCTTGGACCCACCAGATGCAAGTTCTACTTTGGCTGAAACAAATCCCACATTAAAAGGGACATGATGGGGCTGGCACTGTGGCGGAGCGGGTAAAGCCGCCACCTGCAGTGCTGGCATCCCATATGGGCGCTGGTTTGAGTCCCGGCTGCTCCACTTCCAATCCAGCTCTCTGCTATGGCCTGGGGGAGCAGAGGAAGATGGTCCAAGTCCTTGGGCCTCTGTGCCTGCGTGGGAGACCTGGAAGAGGCTCCTGGCTCCTGCCTTCAGATCAGTCCAGCTCTGGCCATTGTGGCCATTTGGGGAGTGAACCAGCGGATGGAAGGCATCTCTCTCTCTCTCTCTCTCTCTCTAGGCCTCTCTGTAACCCTGCCTTTCAAATAAATAAATATTTTTTTAAAAAGGATATGAGAATTTCCTATAATTTTGCTACTGAAGGCATTGTGAATGAAGCAAAGAATGTAACAAAATGTATAAATGTAAACGTCTCTTTAAAATCAGATTTACAGAGTTGCTTTCCTGATTCTGGGGAGAAGATGACAACGTTTATTGAAGAGTCAACTGCATTTGGATGAAGACCGGCTGCCGGGCCACGAGCCCCAGGCAGCCACTGCACTGCCAGAGCTCTCTGCACAGAGCACAGAGCATGCGGTCACAGCCCCCCAACCTCCCCACCTCCGCCCGGTGCACCAGGGCCCAGCTGGGCTGCAAGGGGCGAGGGCGAGGCACCAGGCAGCAGGGGCGAGCAGGAGCCCGTTGGCACCAGGGAGGCGGGAGTGGGCCTGCCAGTTGTTCTGACCTCGAGAGAAATCACCAGGACCCCAGAACCCGGAGCCGTCTGCAAGCCAGCTCCGTGTGCGTTCCTCCTCAAGTGTCTGAGAAGTGGGTTTGGATGCGAGTCACCCTGTCCCTGGGAGACCTGGAGGGGAAGCCCCACCGACCAGAGCAGGTTCCTGTGGAGCCACCTGGGGCTCCAGGGAAAGCGGAGCCGCGAGGCCAGGCCCCCAACCCCCCACGGGGACTCATCCTCTAGTACAGCGACAGACACCTGCTCAGGGCACTGTGCCAGGTGGCCCAGCACAGGGCGTGGGACACCACGATGGAGTCTCCATGTGGAGGAGTGATCTGGATGGGCTTCTAGAAACCACCGTGACCCGCGATGGGTCTGAGGACAGGTAGAATGCTGACGGGCGAGAGCCCAGTGACAGCATGGGCAGCTGGAGAGGGAGGCGCCCCCTGCTGGGCGTGTCTGGAATGTATGGGGCAGGTGTGGGTATGAGGCCAATGTGAACCCCCAAACCCCGAGTGTGGACTTAAGTCAGCTAAGTAAGAGGGAGTCCTTCACACACCCGTTTATTCTTTAGTTCGTTCAGCAGAAATGCATTGAGTGCAAACCCTCTGCTGGTGCCCCTCCCACCCCGCAGGTGCTGGGCTCTCCGGCGAGCGGCGCCAGCTCCTGCCCTCCTGACACTGGCACAGCTCAGCAAGTTGCCATCAGCAGCACTCAGGGCTCAGCCCTGCGCTTCCAGGAGCTCCTGCTGTGCAGGGGTAAGTGCAGGCTGCAGCCTGGGCCAGGGGGAGGGGCAGGCCCTGAGCCAGGCGCAGCAGTGGGGGAGGCATCCCTTCACAGGGCAGCGTGGGCAGTCACAGGCAGGGTCCCCTGGCCCAGGCTGGCCAACCTCCCCGCCGCCCCCAGCAGCAGACGTAGGGGAAGACACAGCCGTGCAGGAGGCTGCACTTGGAAGCAGCGCACTGGAGCCTCCATCCCCCTGCAGCAGGCCTGCTCTCTGGCCTCAGGGGTCAGGGGTCTGGCGCCCCCTGTGCCTCTGCTCATCCTGCCTGTCGTCATCATCCTCTTCCTCCCTCGCCCTGGAAAGCTCTTTCAGCTGCTCTGGCGGCTCCTGGTAGGCGGCCCGGTTCCTGTAGGGTAGTAGGACAAGGGAAAGGCGTGGCCCTCACTTTGGTCCCTAAGGGAGCTGGGCCCACCCAGTGCACATCCCAGGACCCCGGGCTGCAGGGTTGCGATGACATGGCCCCTGAAGGTGTGAGCCTCTAGTGGCGTAGGCTGCGAGGCTCCAGCCCACACTGGGCCCTTGTCTCCCTCCCCCCCGACTCTGAGATCAGAGACTGGAAGCCCAAGGATGGGGGGGGGGGCTCAGGCCCGGGACTGCAGTGCACACTGTGTGACTGGGGCCAGCAGCTCTGTCCTTGGCTACAAACCGCGGGTTATGCAGATAAGCACTGCTCCCCCAGGGGAGTGGCTGTGCAAAGCTGACATGCTCAGCCCCGTTCCCACTGGCTGCCCGCCCCGACACTCACGGCCGGGCGTCCTCCTTGTCCTCGACCTTGTCCTTCTGTCGACAGCAGCAGCAGTAGATGAGGATGCCAATGATGATGAAGGCTGCCACCACGCCCCCGGCAATGCCCGCATACAGGGCCACGTTCATGGAGGCTGCAAGAGAACACAGCGGCTGCATCTCTGGAGCCCCAGCCCAAGCCCCCTGACATCCCCCACCCCTGCAGGTACCACGGGAGGTGGCTGGGGAGCCGGGGCTGGTCCCTCCCAGCTCTGGGCTGGTCTGGTCCTATTTGCCATGAAAGCTGGGGCATTGCAGCAGTGTGACCAGACAGGACCTGCAAACCCTGTCCAGGACTAGGGCTGGACAAGGACGAGGAGGCAGGAGAGACGGTGGCCGTGGGTGACCCAGGCTCTGAGCAAGTCCCCAGGTGTCCATCCTGCTAGTCCTATGCTAGGTGGTCCCTGAGCCAGATGTGGGTCCAGATGCCTCCCCATGCTTGCTCAGCTGCCCTTAGGGCACGCACAGCTGCAGAGATCTCTGGAAGTCAACGGACTCAGACGAGCCTTGTGGCAAAGGGAGCCCAGGTTACCACAGGTCCCCGGCAGGTGGGTGGCCCCCAAGAAGCTCCCCAGTGCCTCGCCATGGTGTGGGGGGCCTCAGCCCTCTGCTTGCCCCAGAGGGTGCTTACGTAACCTGACGCCCACAGTAATGTTGCAGGATTCCTGCCCCATCTCGTTGCTGGAGGTGCAGAGGTAGAACCCCGAGGTGTCCGTGGAGATGTTCTTCAGGTACACGGTCTGGCCCGAGACTGGAGGAAGCACAGTCAGAGTGAGCAGAGGGCGGCTGGGCTCTTGGGAGGCGCAGGCTCTGCCCCTCCCATCCCCACCCTCGGGGCACCGCAGTCTCTCCTGCGCTGTGAAGGACGGCTGCGTGGCCCCTAAGCCAGGAGGGAAGCACCATTCCAAAGGGCTCAGAAGACAGGCGCCTGGGGCTGGCGTCTGCCTCGGCCGTTGACAGGGTTGCTGCCTTTGGTGGTCGCTTAGCTTCCTCAAGCGGCTGCTTCTGCCCCTGTAGCCGGGAGGGTCAGCGCCCGTCCCATGGAGCACTTGTGAGCATGAAGTGAGCTACCAGTGATGAGCCCGCCGCAGAACGCCCCAGGTGCCCCCAGCGCTCAGGAGCTGGGAGGCCCGTGTGAAGCAGGTGGAAGTGCTTTCTAACTAGGAGCTGCTGTCGTGCCCGCCTGTGCCAGCCAAGAGCGGAATCCCTTAGCTCAGATGCAAGCAGAAGTCTTGAAAAAGCAAGATCTCCTGAGCTGTGCGTGTCTGTGTGCGAGCGTGGGGGGCACGTGTATGAGCGTGTCTAGTGTGGTACACAGATGCATAGTGCGAAGTGTGACTGGGGGAAGGCTGGGGAAAATGCACGAGACCCTGTGGGTGTGTAAAATGTGTGTGAGGAGCGTGGTGTGTGGTATGTGGGGTGGGGGGGAGGTGTGCATGTGTGTTTGGTATGTGTGAATGTGGGTGATGTATGTGAACACGTGTGTGTGTGTGGTGTGTGTGACTGTGGCTGGTGTGTGGGTGGTGGATGTGTGATGTGTGGGGTGTGTGTGTTTGGTAAGTGTGGGTGTGGGTGATGTAATTGGGTGGTGTGTGGGGCCCGGGGGGCTGGGGCGGGTGTGATGTTGGGGCGGGGATGAGGCCGGCTTCAGCTTAGGCCCTCCGTCTTCATCTGCCACAGCTTAAAGAAACCACAGCTGCCCTCCGTGGGCCGCAGCTGCCTCCTGTGTGCCTTCCGCATCCAGGGCAGGGGCCGGACGCCACCTGAGACCCCTTCCCAGGACCTGCTAGCCTGCCGACCCTCCCCCGGAGGGGGCGCACACGGTGCTCAGCTAGGCCTGCACGTCCTTGCCTGGGACGCTGCATCCTGACTTCTCTGTGGGGAGAAGGGTTGGGGACCTCGCAGGAAGCCTGCTGCCCCCAGGCGGTCACACTGCGTGCTCAGGAGATGCCAGGGCCCTGCACTGCTCCTGCAGACTTAGCCGAGGCTGCCCGTCACCCTCAAGGGCACAGCCGTAAACGGGCCCGGACATCATGGCGGCTTGGTCTCTTGCCAGTTCTGCAGTGTCCTGTGGACAGAGCCAGAGAGCAGCGCCCCCGCCATGGCGTGTGCACCTGGTGTTCAGCACGTGCACTCACACAGGACGACCTCTCACCCTCCCAGCACGCAGAGGTATTTCCAGCTCCTGCTTCACAGAGGTGACCGGAGGTCTGGAGAAATGAGGTGACTTGTTCCCAGTCACAAAACTAAGAAATGACAAAGCTGCTGCAAAAATCCCATTGCGGGTCCAGATCTCTCTAGAGCAATTGACAGCTTTCTTTTCTTTAAAAAACTATATGATAAAGGCCACATATGCTCACGGTAAGAACATTAACTAGTGACTTACTTATCTATTTGAGAGACAAAGAGCTCCCACCAATGTTTCACTCCCCACAAAAGTTCACGACAGCCAAGACTGGGCCAGGACAAAGCTGGCAGCCAGGAAATGAAGCCGGGTCTTCCCCCGAGGGTGACAGGGACCCAACCACTTGAGCCATCACCTCTGCCTTCCAGGGTCTGCATTAACAGGAAGCTGAAGGCTGGAGCTGGAGCTGAGCTCCAAAGCCCCAGAATTCTTTTTTTTTAATATATTTTTTTAAATTTTGACAGGCAGAGTGGACAGTGAGAGAGAGAGAGACAGAGAGAAAGGTCTTCCTTTTTTTGCTGTTGGTTCATCCTCCAATGGCCGCCACGGCCGGCGCGCTGCGCTGATCTGAAGGCAGGAGCCAGGTGCTTCTCCTGGTCTCCCATGCGGGTGCAGGGTCCAAGCACTTGGGCCATCCTCCACTGCACTCCCGGGCCACAGCAGAGAGCTGGCCTGGAAGAGGGGCAACCGGGACAGAATCCGGCGCCCCGACCGGGACTAGAACCTGGAGTGCCGGCGCTGCAGGCAGAGGATTAGCCTAGTGAGCCGCGGCGCCGGCCAAAATATTTTTTTAAAAAGCCACCCATAATCTCACCACCTAGAAAACTTAGCTGTTTGACTTGGGGCTATTTTCTCCCAAATGTGCCACAAATCCAGTACTTTCTTCAAATTCTCTCGAGATTCACAGCATGGGTGCCTGGACCCAGGGAACGACTCCGTCTCCTGTCCAAGAGTTCCACATCTCGTCATTTTTTTTCCCGGGAATATTGCTTACAGGCAACCTAAGTGTCTGGTGCGGGAAGACACCCGTGACCAAAGCGAGTGTATACGTCGCCCAGTGAGCACTGAGCGTGTTTGTAAGGACCCGGCTCTCAGAGCTGTGCACTTGCAGATGCGCATGGGAGCCCCGGTGGAGACTTAGGTATTAATGCTCCCATTTTACAGGCTAATTGGACTGTTCTTTTTAAGAGGCATCCTGAAGCGACACCCTTTAGGACCCTGGGCATGCTTAAGAGGGCGACAACCCTTGTTAGACTCCCACTACTGTGGTGGGAAGCAGTCTGTGTGTTGGGGTGTACACCCCAGGCTGCAGACAGAGGGAGGACTTCTCCGTCATCCCAGCGGGGCTGGTTTAGGGTGGGCAAACACCCATCTTCCGAGTCCCCGAGTCAGCGCCATCCTCCCCGGGGCCCGCACAGCAAGCGGTGGCCCGCAGAAGCTGGCCCGGGATAAGGCAGTGCGCACCCTGTGCCACAGGACTCGCTTGGAGCTGGGGCTCCCACCAGAACGGATTTCCCCGCGGTGGCGGCGACACCTTGTGGTCAAAGCGGGGAGCACACGGGTCCGTCCTCTGCCCTCCAGCTGCGGAGCAGCCCCCAACACACATGGGAAGTCAGGTGGGCAGGGTCTCTCCCACCGCCTTCAAGATCCTCGCTGAATCATTGCCACGCCTCCCCACCTCCCTGTAACGGGCTCCACTCCCTTTTCGGGACTCAGATTCGATTCCTGCTCCTTCGGTGCTTGCAGCCCAGGTGGAAGGGACCCGGTGTACCTGTCTGTTCAGAGCAAGCCTTGCACCTTGCAGCATTTCGACTTACCCTCCTCACAGCTCTCATCCCATTCTCCAGCTGGCGACACGAGGCGCCAGGGAGGTTTGTGAGTGCCTGCCGGCTGTAGAGCCGAGAGGACTCCAACCCTGGACTCCTGATTTCACCCACCCCGTTCTTGTCGCTGACTGGCGTCCACCGATCCCAGCTCTGCTGCTAGGAATGCGACCTGCGGGTGAAGGCGGGAGCGAGGACCCCACCTCTCCCCATCGCCCATGGTGGCTGCACTGTTTTAGAAGTCAGAAATGAGTGTTCACTGACCCACACAGCGAGACCACAACGATGGATTCCTAGGGCTTGGGAGAGAGTGGAGGCCAAGGGCTTTGAGAACCCCAGCCCAGGACCCTCCCTCCCCCATCCGGAGGCAGGCTCCTGTCCTTACCATCACCAGCCACGGCCTTTCCCCTCATCCCACATCTGAACTTGAGTCAGGATCAAGCTTTAGCAAAGTAAACAAGCAAATCCCATCTCCTTCTACTTGGTTTATGATTTATGTATTTGAAAGACAGAGTGGAAGAGAGAGAGGGAGAGAGAGAGAGAGAGAGAGAGAGAGAGAGAGAGAGAGATCCTCCATCTGCTGGTTCAGTCCCCAAATGCCCACAACAGCAGGAGCTGGGCCAAGCTGAAGCCAGGAACCCAGAACTCCATCTGAGTCTCCCACATGAGTGGCGGGGACAGAAGCCCTTGAGCCATCACTTGGTACCTTTCCGAGGTGCATTAGCAAGAAACTGTATGGGAAGCCAAATAGCCAGGACCCACACTGAAACTCCCATATGGATGTGGGTAATAGGAGATGTAACCCACTGTACCACAAGACCCACCCTCCCTCACTTAAAAAAATGCATTAATTTGTTTTAAAGGCAGTCGGAGAGAGAGAGAGAGAGAGGGAGCGAGAGAGAGAGCGAGCATCCATCCAGTGGCTCACTCCCAAATGCTCACAACAAGCGGGCTTGGGTCAAGCCAAAGCCAGAAGATGGGAACTTAGTCCATGTCTCTATGGGTAGCAGGGACCCAACTACTTGGGCCATTATTTGCTGCCCCTAGAATGGGCATTAGGAGGGAGATGGATTGGAAGCAGAGCTACGACTTGGACCCAGGCACAGGGATATGGGTCGCAAGTGCCCCAAGTGGTGACCTAATTGCTGTGCTAAACGCCCACCCGGAAATCTCTTTAACCTCTCTTCCTGTCCTCAGGATTCTCCCCTTCTGAATCACTGAAGAACTGAGTTTTGGCTCCCACAACCACGGAAGTGTGCCCAGTAGAAGCAGGAGAGCTGGAACCAGGGTGGCCAATCGTGAGGCTGCCAGGAGGTGCCCGTGGCTCACAGGGCACTGAGACCATCTCACAGTGGGATGCTGATGAGAGCTGTGGCCCTTCCAAGCCTGCCCAGGGTCAGCACCACTTTCCTTACCGATGGACCGCCCTTCAGTCCTGCCATCCGTGCACCTGCCCTAGCCACTCCAATGCTCACGATTCCTGTGCTCTTCCCCGTGCCGAGCCTACCCATCTTGCAAGGGCCCAGCTCCAGTAAAAGCCAGTAACACCCAGCCCTCACTGAGCGCTTGCTGCCTACCAGACTCTGGTCTTGGTGCTTTACGTATGCTTTGATCTACTCACTACAATTCAGCCAAGTAAACAGCGGGTTGTGCCCACTTTACAGATGTAGAAACTAAAGTAGGGAGAGACTAAAGAATTTGCCCAGGGAGTGGGTGTTTAGCCTAGCAGTTAAGATGCCCGTGTCCCACATGGGTTTGTTTCCCAGCTCCACCTCTTGATTCCAGCCTCTTGCCAATGCAGACTCTGGGAGGCAAGGATGATGGCTCAAGTAACTGGATTCCCGCCACCCTTGCAGGAGACCTGGATTGCAATCCAGCTCCGAGCTTCAGTCCCAGCCTAGCCGTGGCAGTTGCAGGCATTTCAATAGTGGACCAACATGATGGCAGGGCTCTCTCACCCCCGTCCCCACCATCCCAAACAAACAAATGTTTAAAACCACCGTGCCATTCTGAAAGACCGAGTGCCCTTTCTCAGAGAAACCTTCTTACATCTCTCCTGGGTTACCACACCCTGGGGCAGAAAATTAGGTTGTGGCATCCACTGCCCCAGGTCTTCAGCTTCAGGTCCCCTTATACACACCTTGTGGGAAGAAGGGGCAGATGCCACCATAGCTCTCCATAGCAGATCTACCGTGCCATCCCTGGGGGGCTGGGCTGTGACCACAGGCCTGAGAGGAGACCACACAGCCCCAGGAGAGCTGCCAGGTGGGGTTCTAACAAAACACCCAGACACGCAGTAAAACCTGGACAAGCAGAAGTCTGCAAACAAAACTGGAAGCTAGTTGAAATCCACACTGTACCTCCTGCTGGGCATGAGGATGAGTGTGTCCCACTAGTGCTTTTGTGAGTTCTTATTTGTCCCCCTATGAGTGACAGGTATATTTCTCAAATTCATCTGCTTTGGCTGAACCCCCAAGCTGCACCTTCATCCAGCCAGACTTACCCAGGAACTGATAGTTCTCCCAGCCCCTCGTGTCTCACCTGCCCATACAGGTGTGCTCACACCTTCACCTCCTCAGACAGCCATGCTCACTCCCTCACCTGCTCACACAGGAGTGCTCACACCCTCACCTGCCCAGACAGGAGTGCTCACACCATCACCTGCTCACACAGGAGTGCTCACACCCTCACCTGCCCAGACAGGAGTGCTCACACCCTCACCTCCTCACACAGGAGTGCTCACACCCTCACCTCCTCATACACGTGTGCTCACACCCTCACCTGCCCAGACAGGTGTGCTCACACCCTTACCTGCTCACACAGGAGTGCTCACACACTCACCTCCTCACACAGGTGTGCTCACACCCTCACCTCCTCAGACAGCTGTGCTTACACCCTCACCTGCTCACACAGGAGTGCTCACACACTCACCTCCTCAGACAGCTGTGCTTACACCCTCACCTGCTCACACAGGAGTGCTCACACACTCACCTCCTCAGACAGCCGTGCTCAACCCTCACCTGCCCAGACAGGAGTGCTCACACCCTCACCTGCTCAGATAGGAGTGCTCACCCTCACTTGCTCAAACAGGTGTGCTCACACCCTCACCTGCTCATACAGGTGTGCTCACACCCTCACCTGCTCACACAGGAGTGCTCACACCCTCACTTGCCCAGACAGGAGTGCTCACACCATCACCTGCCCAGACAGGAGTGTTCACACCCTCACCAGCACAGACAGGAGTGCTCACACCCTCACCTCCTCATACAGGTGTGCTCACACCCTCACCTGCCCAGACAGGTGTGCTCACATGCTCACCTGCGCAGACGGGAGTGCTCACACCCTCACCTGCCCACACAGGAGTGCTCACACCCTCACCTGCTCACACAGGTGTGATCACACCCTCACCTCCTCACACAGCTGTGCTCACGTGCTCACCTGCACAGACAGGTGTGCTCACACCCTCACCTCCTCAGACAGGTGTGCTCACACCCTCACCTGCCCAGACAGGAGTGCTCACACCCTCACCTGCTCACACAGGAGTGCTCACACCCTCACCTGCTCACACAGGAGTGCTCACACCCTCACCTGCCCAGACAGGAGTGCTCACACCCTCACCTGCCCAGACAGGAGTGCTCACACCCTCATCTGCTCAGACAGGTGTGCTCACACCCTCACCTGCCCAGACAGGAGTGCTCACACCCTCACCTGCCCAGACAGGAGTGCTCACACCCTCACCTGCCCAGACAGGTGTGCTCACACCCTCACCTGCCCGGAAAGGAGTGCTCACACCCTCACCTGCCTGACAGGAGTGCTCACACTCTGGCTTCATTTCTAACCTCTTGCTTTCTTCAGCCCATGCTGAACTGAAAATCCTCCTGAAAGTTAACCCAGATGGACATCTTTCAGGCCTGGTCATTAATCTTCAGGAACGCTGGGTGCAGCTTCTGGGCACCAGGGTCCAGGCTCCCCAGGGGAATTCCCAAGCCAGCTGTTCCCAGGCTGTGACAGTGGGGATGTTTACACAGCTCTTTTTTTCCCCAATTTGTTTCCTGACTGTAAGGTCAAATACCAAGTGGTCCAGTACAAAATTAGTCTCCTAGCAACTGTGGCTGAGAATGTGGGCCCCTTGTGGGCTTGATGGTATAAATGGACAGGGCTGTAGAAGGGTGGTGTGGGGTGGGTACAGTCTGAGATGGACTGGTCTGGATAGGGAAAGGGGAAAGGAAACTCCCCATCCTTGGGTGGAGCTGCAGGGTTAGACCTAGGTGTACACCTTAGGACAAAGTCCTAATGGAAATCAAAATAGAACCCAAAGCTTGTGCAGAGAGTGGTGCTTGGTGCCTGCCTCCCAAAGAGCCCCAGGGTGCTGGAGATAAACAAAGTGAATAAACATTTACCGTGGGTCTCCACTGAGTGTGCCGGGTTGGTTTTATTTCTAACAACAGCCTATGGGGCATATGTTCTTATGAGAAGCTGCGACTTAGAGAGACGGCCCAAGAGCGCAGTGGCAACTGCAGGCTGGGACACCGGGGCTGGCCCACTGGGGATCTGATTGGTCAGCCCCTGTCTCCTCCCAGCAGCCCTAACCAATCGGCTGCACCTCCATGTGCAGAGCGGCCCCTCCCTGCTGACCGCCTTACCTAATGACTGGTCCAGTGGCCGCTCCTGGTTCTGCAAGTTGTAGCTCTTCCAGCTGTACTGAGGTGCCGGGGAGCCCTCCTTGGATTCACAGGTCAGCTGGATGTTGTTCCCAATCACGGTCTCTCCCACGATGCCGCAGTCCGGCTTGGAGGGCGGCACTGTGGGGAGGAAGGACCACGGAGGAGGTGTGAGTCAGGAGGGGCTTGGTGACAGCCCCCTGGCCCGACAGACCCCACCACACCGCCTGACTCAGGTCAGCGCAGCTCCGGCTGTTGCAGCCAACTGGGGAGTGAACCAGTGGATGGAAGACCTCTCTCTCTCTCTCACTCTCTCTCTCTCTACCTCTCTCTGTAACTGTCTTTCAAATAAATAAAATAAATCTTAAAAAAAAAAAAGGAAAAAGCAGCAGATTGCCACTATCTGTGGCCAGCAAAGCCTGACAAGCTGGCCTCGGGCCCTTTGCAGAGAAGATTTCTCCCCTGATTTTGCAGGAAAGGAATCCTCAGGACCCCCGGGACAGAAAGTTCCCCTAAAACGCACACGGGAGTCAATGGCAGGAGGACCCCTTGTAGGAGGGTGCAGAGAGCCCTGGGTCTGGGGGCAGAGGCTGGGGCTCCAGCTCCAGCTCAATCAGGAGCCACGGGCAAGTGTCCCCTCTGGGCCTCGGTCTCCTTGTCCTTATGATGGACCTGGGGAGGATCTTAAAAATCTTTCACTCTAGAGAATGCATGAAGCCATCCCTTGTAAAGCTGCTGTAGGACCCTGATGTGTCTGCTGACAGCACTGCTTCAGTGATGGGGACGAGCCACACGGACATCTTTTGGGGTGAATGACTATGACATTTGCCTCCCCACCAAGCTATAGGGCAGGGGGGGACAGGTGTTTGAACGCCACTTGGGGCCCCCACACCCCACAAGGGAGTGCCTGGGTTCCAGTCTCAGCTCTGCTTCTTCTGGGTCCAGTTTCCCCGTAATGTCCCCCCTGGGGGGCAGCACTGAGGGCTCAAGTACAGGAGTCTCTGCCACCCACGTGGGAGACCCGGATGGAGTTCCCAGCACCCAGCTTCAGCCAGGGTGTTTGTGGACAGGACCCCCACCCCCACCCCCACCCAGGGTCTCTGTCTCAAAAACAAGCAAACAAATCAGCCAGGACCTCGAATCAGACAGATCTAGTTCGAATAGCCCCTCCGCACGCGTGCGGGCCGTGATCTCTGATTCCCAGGGGGCTCCTGCTACTCCCAAGCCCAACGCAGCTGGGGGTTGAGCTCCCAGGCGTCCTAGATGCCTGCGACTTCCGCTGCAGACGTTAGGGGGCGCCAGAGGCCGGAGAGACGGCCGATCCAGCTCACCGGCGTTGGGTACCGGATCCCGGGGCTTGAGGGCTTCCAGGCGGTGCCCTAGACCGGGCTGCACCCCTAGACGAGGGCTCAGGGGCTTCCCGCGAGGTCCCCCAGCACGATAATTAAAGCCCTTCTGCTTGAAATTAACCCAGCTGCAAGAACCACCAGGAAAGAAAATTTTTTTAAAGTTCTTTTACTGGGTTTATTAACATGTACGATACAGGGATCTCTTCTGTGAGAAGCAACACATTGGTTTCTTTTTTTCTTTTTCTTTCTTTCTTTCTTTCTTTCTTTTTTTTTTTTTTTTTTTGACAGGCAGAGTTAGACAGTGAGAGAGAGACAGAGAGAAAGGTCTTCCTTCTGTTGGTTCACCCCCCAAATGGCCGCTACGGCAGGAGCTACACCAATCCGCAGCCAGGAGCCAAGTGCTTCCTCCTGGTCTTCCACGCAAGTGCAGGGCCCAAGCACTTGGGCCATCCTCCACTGCCCACCCAGCCACAGCAGAGGGCTGGACTGGAAGGAGCAACTGGGACAGAACTGGCACCCCAACCGGGACTAGAACCCCGGGTACCGCGCCACAGGCGGAGGATTAGCCTGGTGAGCTGTGGTGCCGGCCGACACGTTGGTTTCATACCACCTTCTCCTTGCGGGTCACCCAGGCCTGGGTGGGGTTGGGGAGGGGCATGCATCTTTACCTGGAATCCCTCCCCCCTCAACCAGCTGGAGTCCTGGATAGGAGAGCTAATTAAGACCCCCGCTCGTGGTGGTGGTGGTGGGGGGGGGGGGGGGTTGCAGCTTTGTTCGTAGGGAAGAATGGGTAGGAACTCAGTGTCCATGGCCTGACCGGCGACTCCAAGCGTGCAGCTAACACGTGGCCAAGGAAAACCAAGTTGCAGAGGGAGCTTTGTGAGATGCCCTGACTTTACCAAGAGGAAAGAAAGAAAGGGAAGCAGTGTGTATGCTGTGTGTGTTTCTGTGTGCGCACGCGCGTGTGTCTGTGGCCAGCACACGCAGAGAGAAACTGGAAGGACCACCCATCTGGTAGGGGCCTAAGGAGCCCTTGGTTAGCCTGCCCACAGTCCTGGCACATGTGGTGTGATTCTGGCCACCACCCTCTGTGATTCAGAATAAAATCCACAGTGGGGGATCGGCACAGTGGTTAAGATGGTGCTTGGCTCCACGTCAGGGTCAGCTTCCAGTCCAGGGCGAGTAGGTGATGATTTTAAGTGCCTGGGTCCCTGCCACCCACATGGGAAACCCTGATGGAGTTCCTGGCTCCAGCCCTGGCTGTTGTAAGTATTTGGAGAAGGAACCAGCATTTTAAAAATCTGTGTGTGTGTCTGCCTTTCAAATAAAAATAAGTATTTTTAAACACATAATAAAATATTACATAATAAAAAAATAAAATCCAGTAAGTAAGATAAAGGGAAAAAAAGAAGAAAGAAAAGGAAAAAGAAAAAAAACCAAACAAAACATTTTAGTGTTGCTGCCTCCCAGGTGATGCCACTTCTATTGGACACAGACAAGGTGCATATTAAAAAGCTTCCAATAAGCCAGCGCCACGGCTCACTTGGCTAATCCTCCACCTGCGGTGCTGGCACCCGGGGTTCTAGTCCCAGTTGGGGTGCCGGATTCTGTCTCGGTTGCTCCTCTTCCAGGCCAGCTCTCCGCTGTGGCCCAGGAGTGCAGTGGAGGATGGCCCAAGTGCTTGGGCCCTGCACCCGCATGGGAGACCAGGAGGAAGCACCTGGCTCCTGGCTTTGGATCAGCGCAGTGCCGGCCGTGGCGGCCATTAGGGGAGTATACCAATGGAAGGAAGACCTTTCTCTCTGTCTCTCTCTCACTGTCTATAACTCTCTCTCTGTTTCTCTCTCTCACTGTCTAACTCTGCCTGGCAAAAAATTTTTTAAAAAAGTTTCCAATAACCTTGACTTTCTGTCTGTGGTTTCCTTTCTCTGGGTGTCGTATAAGAATGTGGATTTGAGGAACCTGCAATGCCAGCCTCCCGTGTGGGCATGGGTTCCAGTCCCAGCTGCTCCATTTCTGATCTAGCTCCCTGCTAGTGCACCTGGGAAAGCAGTGGAAGATGGCCCAAGTGCTTGGGTGCCTGTACCCATGTGGGAGACCTGGAAGAAACTCCTGGCTCCTGCTTTTGGGTTAGCCCAGCTCCAGCCATTGCGGCCATTTAGGAAGTGAACCAGTGGATGAAAAGAATCTCTTCTCTCTCTCTAACTCTGTCTTTCAAATGAATTAATTAAGAAGAGAGAGAGAGAAAGTGGATATAAAGGTAGGTGACCCTTCAGATCTGCTATGGACTCTGGTAAGTGGTTGCTGTCTAAGAATGTTTGCTGCTGACATGAGTACTTCCAAAGCAGTGGCTCCTGGTTGGCAGTGCGCCTGCGGGGCTGGGGTGGGGCGGTGGTGGCGTGAAAGCTCACTGCCTGGCCGGGAGTCAGCGGGAAGGTGGGACTCAGAATACCAAGCGGAGGCAACATCGGGGTCATTGCAATAGGATGTAGGGTTTTCCTTTTCCTTCTCCTTAGTGAGCCTGGCATGAGCAGAGAAGGGGTTGAAGTGAGGGCAAGAACAGACAGAGCAAGGAGCCACTCCAGATTGGCCTTCTCTGCTCTTGGGAGCTGCCTGCTGCAGGGAAGAGGTCAAAGGGCTTGGGAAGGCTCCCTGCAGGCCAGGCCAGGGCAGGGGCTGCCTCTGGCTTTCTCTGGCACTACCGGACAACTCGCGCGAGAGATGCAAACACTCACCGAGGACCAGGAGGCGGACGCGCGACTTGGAGGTGCCTTCCAGGTCTGTCAACAGGGTGACTGAGCACTCATAGGTGCCGTTGTCATCCATGGTGAGCTGCCCGATGGTGACCGAGGCGTCTGACTGCTCGGCGTTGGCCGATATGTTGGCGCGGTTCTGGTAACGGTCCCCGTAGATGTAAGTTTTCTCTAAAAAGTTCCAGATGACCACTTTTTCCTGGGAGGAAGCAGAAATCCACGTGGTCATCACCCCACAGACCTGACCTTGAGCCCTCTCGCCCACCATCCCCAGAGCCCGGAGCACAGACTGGACGGTGGCTCTGAGCCGTCAGCTCTCACCCCTGGTACCCGAGGTGGATTCCTTTCGCTATATCTACTTATGCTTGGTTCTCAGTGGAAATACTGCAAGGTTAGCACGTGGCAGGGTGGGCAGACAGGCAGCCCTCACCACAGGAGCACACGAGAGGGAACGGGGCTGACACAGGTGGCGACACAGGTGGCACTGTCACCTTGGGCATCGCTCGTGCCCCTTCTGTTCCAGCCCCTGTCTGTTCCCACTCGTTCAGCCGATTGATATTTGCAGAGCAGCTGCTGTGGACCAGCCATCGTGCGAGGCAGTCGCCCTTCGTTCTGAGTCCATCCTTCAAGCCAACAGTCCCCAACCTAACACTTCTGGGTACCTGACCTTGCACAAAACGTTTGACAGCTCCTCCACCAAATGCAAACGATAGTTATCTTAACGGCACCAATCTTGTGAAGACTGGCAGGGTGGGCGGGGAGGCAGTTCCTAACTCAGAAGCAAGCGTGAGTCGACGGGGCTGACACAGAGCCAGCACTGCTGCCTCCTGACACTTTGGCCAGGAGGTACTGTTAGGTACTGTTAGGGCCTTGCCTGCCATGATGCTTTATGTAAGTGTTTTAAAAAATGAGACAGAGATAAATGTACTGATGTATAGAAAGAGCCCAAGATATATTAAGAGGGAAAAAGCCCAGGGGCTGGCATTGTGGTGTAGCAGATAAAGCCTCTGCCTGCAATGCCAGCACCCCATATGGGCACTGGTTCAAGTCCCAGCTGCTCCACTTCCAATCACTCCCTGATAATGCATCTGGGAAAGCAGTGGAAGATGGCACAAGTGCTTCGGCCCATGTACCCATGTAGGAGACCTGGAGGTGGCTCTGAGCTTGGCCATTGCAGCCATTTGGAGAGTGAATTAGCAGATGGAAGACATTCTCTCTCTCTCTCTCTCTCTCTCTCTCTCTCTCCCTCTCTCTCTCTCTTCTCCTCTCCCACTCTCCGTGTGACTTTGCCTTCCAAATAGATAATAAATATTTAAAAAACAGAAGTCCAGTGCAGAGCAGTATGTATGCGATGTATACAGGCAGACATATTTATACTTATATATGTAATAGTAGTCTTCAAAAGTCTGTGGAAAATGTGCATCATGAAAAAAAAGCATGAATCCCCCAAATTTTGCACCGAACTAAGCTTATTTTTAATTCCATTTTTCCATGCACTGTTTAAAATTTTATTTTATTTATTTGAAAGAAAAGAAAGATGAAAGAGAGAGAGAGAAAGAGAGAGAGAATGAGCAAGCTTCCACCCTCTGGTTCCCTCCTCAATGCCCATAACAGTCAAGGGTGAGGCCAAGCCAGAGCTAGGAACCAGGAACTCAATCCAGGGCTCTCTTGAGAATGGCAGAGCCCAAAGTACTTTTGCCATCACCTGAAGAAAGATGGAATCAGGAGTGGAACTGGGACTTGAATCCAGGCACTCTGATACAGTCTGTTACAGTCTGATACACTCTGATGCCTCTGTGAAGTGCCCCCACAGTGTGCAAATACATAACTATGCTTATGCATGCCTGGCCGGGGTGGAGGAGAGTGTGTGTGTGTTGGGAGTGGGGGTAGGGAACAGAGATTAGGATGTGGAAGCAAGGTAGGAGAGGGAGGGGTAGGAAGGGACTTTTCAATGTATACTTTTTTGATGTTTTGATTTGTGAATCATGGATTATATTATCTATTTAAACATAAATATAGAAAACAACGCTCCATCATACACTCCAAAAGAAGATAAATAGGAAAAAAAATCCACTTCATAAAAGTAAAATTTGGCCTAAGAGTGAGGCTAAGCCTAAGGAGTGGCCAACTAGAACAACACAAGGTAGATCATTCCAGAATGGCCATTAGAAAGATAACTTAGGGCCATTGACTTCTTCAGATTAAAGGTAGAACAATCTGGATCCAACATTCACCTCTGCTTCCTCACCCACCCAGCTGAGATGCTAATGCTTATCCAGCTAACATGTATCGTAAGACTTTACGGTGTTTGCCTTCCAAGAGGTCATGGTCAAGTGATAATAATTTCCATGACACCCCCAGCCTCTTACTGAATGGCTCCGCAGAAGCTTGTCCCATTGGATCAATCCTTCTCGGGTGGAGGAAGTAGTCTGGTAGGTGCACGGAAGGGTGACGCTCTTTCCCCGGGCAGCCCGAATGACTTCCTGTGGGGTTTCCACGGAGATGCCTCGCACCGTCACCCACACTGGAAAGAAAGTAGGAAGCGGGAGAGAAAAATGAAACGGCATGGGCACTCAGGGTCATTGCTCACGGGACGTCTGAGGAGCAGCCTTGCTCTTTCCGCCACATCTGGTCTCGCTACAATGGAGATGGATCTTGGCCGTGGTACTCCATCTGCTCGCCAAGGCCGGGGTAAAAGCAAACGTGTGCCCTGGTCGGCCTTCCCTCCCCGCCTCAGCATCACGAAGGGGTCGCTGCCGTGGTGGTGAAAGTCTGCCTTTGAACTTCAGCCCTGCCTCCTAGCAGCTGCATAAACCTGCCTAAGCCTCAGTTTACTCGTGGGTAAGAATGGGAGTCCTGATGCTTACTTCCCAGAGTTGTTGGGGACCCGAAAGCAGATAATATGCATCGGTATTTTTTCTTAGTGCCTGGCACATATACATTTAAAGAATAGGATTACATCAAGGTCAAGCACTAGAAGGTTTTCCCAGAGAAGTTTTTATGCAAGTGTCTCAGATACAAGTAACAAAAGAGGGCAGGCACTCTGGCATCTCCGATCTCACCACCCCTCTCACCCTGTGGCTCTCGTCGGGAGGTGGGCTCCAAGTCCCCCTTCCTTGAATCTGGGTGGGCTTTCACTTGGCCTGGTCCTCTGCAGATGCTACCCAGGAAGCCCAGCCTACACTCGGTAAGGGAGCTAGGCCAGGTCTGGGCCTGTAGGACTCCCCCTGTGGTGTTTGGGACAGCCGACTGCATCGCTTGGACGTGGGGCTGTGCAAACCCAGCCTCCAGCTATTCCCGCTGATGACAAGGGGTTCAGAACTGGGATTTCCATTTCCAAAGTGAAGATTCATGAGTAAAATCAATATTTTTATTGGGGCCAGTGTGTGGTACAATGGGTTAAGTCATCACCTGTGACGCCAGCATCCCATATGAGCGCTGGTTGGAGTCCCGGCTGTTTCATTTCCAATCCAGCTCCCTGATAATATATATGGGAAAGCAGTAGAAGATGGCCCAAGTGCTTGGGGCCCTGCACCCACATGGGAGATCCAGATGGAGTTCCAGGCTCCTGTCTTTGACCTGGCCCAACCTCGGTAACTGTGACCATTTGGGAAGTGAATCAGAGGTTGGAAGACCTCTCTGTCATTCTCCATGTCTCTCCCTCTCTCTCCCTGAGTGTGCCTTTCAAATAAATAAGTCTTTTTTTTTAAATATTTATTTATTTATTTGAAAGGCAGAGTTACAGAGAGGCAGAGGCAGAGAGAGAGAGAGAAAGAGAGAGAGAGAGAGAGAGAGAGAGAGAGGTCTTCTATCCAGTGGTTCACTCCCCAATTGGCTGCAACAGCCAGAGCTGGGCAGATCGAAGCCAGGAGCCAGGAGCCAGGAGCTTCTTCCAGGTTTCCCACACGGGTGCAGGGGCCCAAGCACTTGGACCATCTTCTACTGCTTTCCCCAGCCATAGCAGAGAGCTGGATCAGAAGTGGAGCAGCCAAGACTAGAACTGGTGCCCATATGGGATGCTGGCACTGCAGGCGGCGGCTTTACCTGCTATGCCACAGTGCCGGCCCCATTAAATAAATAAGAATTTTTTTAAAAAAATCATTCTGAGTGATGTGACATGAGTAGACAGGCAAAGCATGAGGAACAAGAGTAAAGGCAGGGAAATCATGCTAGAGGGGATTTCAAGAGGCCAGGTGAGGACCCACGATGGTTTGCACATGGGTGATGGTGGTGGAGGCATTGAGAAGTCATCCCAAATGGAATGTAGGTAGAAAGTAGAGCTGGGACAGGCACTGTGGCACAGTGGGTTAAAGCCCCAGCCTGCAGCACAAACATCTCATATGGGCACCAGTTTGAGTCCTGGCTGCTCATCTTCCAATCCAGCTCTCTGGGAAAGCAACAGAAGATGGTCCAAGTCCTTGAGCACCTGCACCCACATGGGAGACCCAGAAGAAGCTCGTGGCTCCTGACTTCGGATCAGCTCAGCTCTGGCCATTGCGGTCTTCTGGGGAGTGAAGCAGCAGATTTAAGACCTCTCTCTCTGGCTCTACCTCTCTCTCCAACTCTGTCTTTCAAATAAATAAAAATAATTCTTAAAAAAAAAAAAAAGTAGAGCCCATAGGGTTTGATTGCAGACTAGAGGTTGTATTTAGAGGAGAAGAGGAGGAGGCGGAGGTAAATTCCAGGATTTAGCCTGAGCCACTGGAACAAGGTGACTGTCATTCACTGAGTCGGCCCTGGCGGAGGGAGGCACAGCTCTCAGGCGGAAGAGCATGAGTCCGGCTGGGGCCACATGAGGTGTGAGGTGCTCAGCAGCCTTCCCAGCGGAGTTCTTAAAGAGGCAGCGTGGTGAGCCTGGAGTCCCATGGGGCAGTGGGAAGACAGACACATCCCTGACGCTCTCAGTTGGCCATCACTGTAGACCAGAGGATACTCAGAGGGAGAAGAGAAGACAGGGAAGGCAGTTGGGACTGGACCCTGGAGCCACTGCAGTTCTTAGTTGTGGGGATGAGGGGAAGAACTGCCCAGGGTGAGAACCAAAGAAAGTTTTCCCAGAGGCCAAGCAGGAAGTGGGTTTCATGAAGATAAGGGGGCCAGTTGCCCCAATGCTGCTGGTGTGTCCACCAGGGAGCTGAGGGGATGGAGGGCTGAGAGGGCTCCTCTGGACTGGCAACGTGAAGGAGATCTTGGCAGGAGCAGATGCTGTGGAAGGGTGAGGACGGAGCCCGGATGCAGTGGTTTCAAGAGCAAGTGGTACAAGGAGAAGTAGACTCACTCGCTGGAAAGAGCAGAGGGAAAGGGCCAGAGGAGCTAAAGAAGGCTGGAGGATCAAGAGGGATTTGTGCCTTGTTAAAGTACACACCTACGGGGGTGGGTGTCATGGCACAGAGGGTTGAGCTGCTGTGTTGGATGCCAACATCCCATATCAGAGCTTCACTTCCAGTCCTGGCTGACCCACCGCCAATCCAGCTCCTTGCCAGTGCACCTGGGAGCCAGCAGATGATGGCCCAAATATTTGGGTCCCTTCCACCTGTATGGGAGACCTGGTTGGAGCTCCTGGCTCCTGGTTTCCATTGACTTTGTCCAGTCTTGGAGGTTGTGGGCATTTGGGAAATGAACTGGCAGATAGATCTCTCTCTCTCTCTCTCTCTCTCTCTCTCTCTCTCCTCTGTCTCTGTCTCCTCTATCTCTATCTCCTCTATCTCTTTCTGCCTTCAAATAAATAAATACATATCTTGTTTAAAATTTACTATGTGTCTGATGATTTTTAAAAATATATTTTTGACACTGTTTTTTTGACAATGAGAAAGAACCAAGAAAAAATGAAGACATAAATGATGTTATTTTTTAAAAAAGATTTATTTGAAAGGCAGAGTTACCAAAAGAGAGGGAGGGACAGAGAGAGAGAGAGAGAGAGAGAGAAGTCTTCAATCCACTGGTTCACTCCCCAAATGGTCACAATGGCCAGGGCTGGACCAGACAAAGGCCAGAGGCCAGGACTTCTTCCTGGTCTCCCAAGTGGGTGCAGGGGCCCAGGGACTTGGGGCATCTTCCACTGCTTTCCCAGGTGTATTATTAGGGAGCTGGATTGGCAGTGGAGCAGCCAGGACTCTAACAGGTACTCACATGGGATGCTGGCATTGTAGGTGGCAGCTTAACTCTCTTTGCTACAGTGCCGGCCTTAGAAATGAAGTTCTTCTAGGCAAACGGGGCTGTGAGTAGGGGCTAAGGGAAGGCAGGCCTTAGGAAGGACCCGAGACCACCCGCCCACAGTAACAGGACATGGGGTTGGTAGCTTTGGTGGTAGGACTGTGCACAATTTCCTTCTGACTGCTCCTGGGATGAGAGTACAGCATAAAGAAGGCAAAAGTGTTGCTGACGATGCCGGCTGTCACCCAGCTCAGATACCACTGTCCAATCAGAGTTTCCATTGGATTCACACACTTCCCTTTTAAAATGCAAATAGCTGTCTGGGAAGAGTTAAAGCATCAGCGCTGTCCCTATTTAGCACGAGGTACTTCTGAAGTGAAAAACAGCCCCCTGTGCATGGGGTACGGCTTTCGCCTCCTCGGCACCCATACCAGGAGCTGCGGAGAACTGGTTCAGATGGTCTCTGCCCGAGTTGCTGATGCCTCCCACATGGCCCAAGGCTCGTCAAATGACCCTCAGCATCACCGGCAGTCTCGCTGCCACCTTCAATGGTCATTGTCATTACTAACAGGGGACCCCTCCCCAGGAGGTGTCCGCTTGAGCAAGCTCTTCTGTTGCCACCTGCCCAGGACCAGCTCAGCTCCCTCGCGTGTTTAGAGAGCCCTCCTGTGCACCGTGTGCTCCAGGCCTGGAGACAGTCACGGCCACTGCCACTGAGCCCACGTCACCTCTTCCACCCTTGCCTGGGCCCGTGTTCCTTGTCAACCCTTGAGACCCTTCTCGGGCCTCTCCATGGCCTGCATAACCACCTCCTTCTTATCAGCCCTTCCAGAAGTTGCTACTCAGGGACTGCTACTGGCAGAACCCTAGTGCCCATGCACTGTGTGTGTGGTTTTTTTTTTTTAAGATTTTATTTATTTATTTGAGAGGCAGAGTTATAGAAAGTGAGAGGAAAAGATAGAAAGAAAGGTCTTCCATCCTCTGGTTCACTTCCCAAATGGCTACAACGGCCAGAGCCGGGCTGATCTGAAGCCAAGAGCCAGGAGCTTCTTCCGGGGCTCCCATGCAGGTACCGGGGCCCAAGGACTTGGGCCATCTTCCACTGCTGCTTGCTCAGGCCATAGCAGAGAGCTGGATCAGAAGTGGAACAGCCGGGACTCGAACCCGCTGCCCATTTGGGATGCCGGCACTGCAGGCAGAGACTTAGCCCACTATGCCGGAGCGCCAGCCACACCCATGCATTGTTGATTCCCCACTCTGTGGAGGTATCTGATGGCACTAATTCTCACTGCTGTACTAAAGAGAACCAACCCTCCCAGTCATCCCTCCAGACAAGCGTGAGCGTAATTCTCTGCTTACTACGGATGAAGGGAT